TCAAATGAGTAGGACGAGAAAGAACAGGAGGAGGAGGAGGAGGAAAAGGAGGGCGAGGAGGGGGACGAAGAGGGCGGAAGGAAGCCTCCGCCAGGCGAGCAAGGCGAGGGGCGAGCTAAATCGACACCTCGTGCGGGGTCCTGCCGTCGGAGTAATTTGTTGAGGCCCGTCGGGGACGTCTTGGGGACCTCTTGGGAACTTTTGGCTTGCCTCGGGGTTCCATGGGGCGTCGTGGGAGTTTATTGGAGAGGCCTGACGGCCGGTGCCGCCGACCCTGATTGAAATGGCTAGGAGTGGGGGGAGGAATCGGAATGAGGAGGAGGAGGAGGAGGGAGGAGGAGGGAGGAGGAGGAGGAGGAGGAGGAGGAGGAGGAGAGGAGGAGGAGGAGGAAGTGCATCCTTTGTGTGCCCGCTCGAAGAAAGTGCGCCCCGGGAGTGTGATATTCTGACTTGGGACGTGCTCCCGGAAGAGGAAGAAGTGCATCTCGGGCGTGCCCGCTCGAGGAGAATGCGCTCCAGGGGGGTGGTATTTTGACTCGGGGCCCGCTCCCGGAACGCCTCTGCGGGAGGAGGAGGAGGAGGAGGAGGAGGAGGAGGAGGAGGAGGAGGAGGAGGAGGAGGAGGAGGAGGAGGAAGAGGAGGAGGAGGAGAAAGAAGAGAAAGAGGAGAAAGAGGAGAGGAGCAGGAGGAGGAAAAGGAGGAGGAGGAACACCAGGAGGATGAGGAGGAAGTGCATCCCGTGCGTGCGCGCTCGAGGAAAGTGCGCCCCGGCGGGCGTCGTATCTGCCCCGCCCCCCCCCCCCCCCTGCGGGGAAGGGATAAAAGGGAAGGGGCTTCCCTTCGACTCGCCTACGACGTCGTTTCATTTCGCTTTGGACAGCGCGCTTGAGAAGGAGAGCCCTGGGAGGGGGAGAGCGGAGACGACGGAGACGACGAGTCGAATGGAGAAGCCTTTCGCACACGCCGACAGGGTCGGCGGATTTGGGCGACCTGGGGGCATGTTGCGGGCGAGAGTTTCAGGACTTGCTGTCTAGGCTCCTCTGGGAACCGTTTCTGATCCCTCTTGGACTGTATTCTCAGTTTCTCGGGCCGTCTGTGGGACTTATTGGGCCCCTCTTGTGGCGTGTTTCACGGAAAGCTTCGTGGGGGGTTTTCCGTGGCGTATCCTACGGGGTGTTTCGTGGAGTGTTTCGTGGAGGGTGTGGTGGGGTGTTTCGTGGAGGGTTTCGTGGGATGTTTCGTTGGGTATCTCGTGTCGTGTTTCGCGGGGTGTTTCGTAGGGTGATTCGTTTCGTGTTGCGTGATGTGTTTTGTGTTGTGTTACGTTTCGTATTTCGTGGGATGTTTCGTGGGGTGTTCCTCGTGGCGTGGCGTGGGCCTTTGGTGCATGGCGTGCGGGCCAGAAGGTGCACGCCTCAAATGGTACAGGCACATCGGCCGAAACGGGGGGGGTGTCGGCGGATGAGAAGGAAGGGGAGCACGATGAGTAGAATATGGGGGTGCTGAAGGTGACGGCGGCGACGACGACGTCGACGACACAGGGTTCATGGATGTTGGTCGGAATCTCGTGGTTGTTGGCCTCGCGGGGGCCTCCCGGGGAGGTTCGAGGCCTCTTGGGGGCCGTTTTGGAACCTCTTGGGGCCTCTTTTGGGCCTCTTGGGTGCCTCCTGCGGCCTCTTGGGGGGCCTCCTGGGGGGCCCTTGTGGCCTCTTGGGGGCCTCGTGGGGCCTCCTGGCGACCTTTTGGGGCGGAACGCTCGGGCTATCGGTTCGTGGTCCCACTCTAGGTCCTCTCTTGGGCCAGTCTTGGGGGTTTCTTGTGCGCCTTTTGGGCCGCCTTGGGGCCCTCTTGGGCCGTCTGGGCGCCCTTGTGGAGGCGTTGGGGGGGGCCGTCTGGGGGCGGGTTTGGGGGCTTCTTGGGCCATCTCGGAGCGTCAGAAAGCCGACAAAACGAGTTTCTTAACAATGTGCCTTTTGCGAAGGGAATGGGGGAATTCTTGCGGCTGGGAACCCTGCTGTGGCGCATATTCGGGGCCTCTTGGGGTGTCTGGGGGGCTGCGGAGGCCGTGTGGAGCCCATCGTCGGCGTCACGGAGCGGTCCTCTGGCGACTCGTGGCCGTCTTGGTCCGTCAGGGGTGTTTCTGTTGCCCTCTTAGCCAGTCTTGGGGTCCTCTCCCTCCCCCCCGACGCGCATTGTCACGGACCTTCCAGCGCCGGTGGATGGGGTGTCAAATTCAAGGTTTGGGGGGGGTCCCGTGGGTGGGGGGAACAGTTTCACACGCCTGAGGACCCACAAGAGGTCGGCGGATTCTGCCGCGTACCCATCCCTCCGTCTGCCACGCCCCTTTCGGCTGCTCTCAACAGTGACCCCGCCCCGCATGCGGCTCTGTCGGAAGGGAGCGCGCCCGACGCGCCGCTGTGCCTGCACAGCGGGCCGCGCCAGGCAGCCGCGGCCCTTAGCTGTGCAGTCTCTCTGCTTGACTCTGTGTTGTGCCTGCGCGCCTGCAAGGGATGCAAGGCCACAGTCAATTCGGTAGCAAATCATGAGAGCCTGGTATACCCATTGAGTTCCGTCTTCAGCGTCGAGTAGCGTCTAGGAGCCCATCAGAAAGCGCCGATCTAGCGTCTGCTAGCGTCGACTTAGCATTGACTTGGCGTCGATTGGTGCCGACCAGCGTCGACGAGCGTCGATTCGCAAGAGCCGACAAGATGGTATGGGAGGCTCCCATGAGTTGCCTGGAGGGTTTCTGCGAAGGGCTTAGGCGACCCGTCCTCCTCCTCCCCCCCCCCTCCTCCTCCTCCTCCTCCTCCTCTTCCTCCTCCTCCTCCTCCTCCTCCTCCTCCTCCTCCTCCTCCTCCTCCTCCCCCTCCTCCCCCTCCTCCTCCTCCTCCCCCTCCCCGGCGGCCTTCCGACAGGCCTCGGGCACCGGAGAGGCGCGTTGGGCCGGAGGCCCTCGGACGCCTCGGCTTTGTCAAGACCCAGTGGCTTGGGAGGACCCTCGCGCTGGTGCGGGCGGAGAACACGGGAACGAACAACGGCATACGCAAAAACTGGGAGGTCCGTGCAGGTTTCCCGGATCCCCGCTGGACCCCCTCTCCCTGGCGCGCGGAGTGCGCCAGGGGCCCCCAGCGCCGATCCGAAAAATCCGCGCGGACCTCCGAGTTTTTTTGCTTATGCAACTGTTCAGTATCGTTTAACCGATCCCCATCCCCATTCCCATCCCCACCCAGACCCCCACCATCTCATCCCCCCAGGTTGGGGACATGCCCTTCGAACTCCGACAGAAACTGCCCATATCCCCATCCAGGGGGGTAGCCTGACCCAGCGGTGCCCAGGCCACGCGAGTGGGGATAGGGATCGGTTACACGATGCTCATTGGGGCGAGAGTTTTGCTGGGCGCGGCGGCGCTCCACGCGCGTCGGCTCGTCTCCCGCGCCTGGGGCAGATCGGACGGGGCCCACACGCAAGCAGTGGCGAAGCGTCCTGGCTCGCCTACAGGCCTACCAAAGACTGTTCTAAGAACCTTTGTGGTCTGCACGAAATGTTCTTAGAACATCTCTGCTTGGGACGGTCTGGTTTTCACACATCGGGGTTAGGTTCTACGAGCATCGTTTTTGCTCTTAGAGCAGTTCATCGGCTTCTAAGAACATGCCGTGGCAGGCCTATAGGAATGCCGGGACGGTCGGTCCCTGCTCAAGGAGAGGCGCGCTGAGCTGGAGGCTCTCGGACGCCTTGGGTGAGGTCGGGCGTGTCCTCCTACGGGCGGATTTCGAGCAGGTGGAGTCTCCCTCATAGGACACACTATTGCAAAACAGTCGCGTGATGCAGAGGTCCAAAGCCAGACCCCCCCTTCCCTCCCCCCCGCCCAATGTCGAAACGCCGAATAAGAAAACGTTCACCTTGTCCTCGGCCCTCCGTCCTGCGGGGCTAGGACGAGGATAAATCCGTTCCAGAGCGTCTTGGAACGCTCCCAGAGCGTTCTGGAACGCTCTGAGAAGTCCGCGGCTCCCGAGACAGCCTCCAAAGCAGTGGGATCTCAGAGATTATCGACTTAGCCGTACTCGATGTTAGCCTTGTCCTGGGTTCGTCTTAGCAGAGGGGCGCGGGTGGACGAGAGAGTAGGATAGGAAAAAGGGGTGCTACGGAATCTGCTGCATTGAGTGTTCAATCATGGACCCCTAGTTGAACGCAACCCATCCAGCGCTCGCGCCGAAGACCGCTGGAAACCGCCAAAGACCGCCGTAAATCGCCAAAGACCATCAGAAGACCGCCGAGGACCGCCCGAAGACCGCCGAAGACGGCCCAGAAGCAATGGGTAACAAGGGATCCATAGTCGAACACGTAAGGTACCCTGAGCTTCCACCGTCCGCACCGTCAAGTCACAAGGTGAGGAAGGTGCCATTCGTGGGGACTTATCGCGCACATCTATGCTAGTTGTCATTGATTTTGTATTTGCATGTACACGAGCATTCATGATACTATACGCACGTCTACCGATAACATACATCACAATACACATGTGCGCACACATGTGCAATATACATATAATTGTCTTGACGTTTCGCGTATGCCCACCGGCACCAGCCCATGTTGGAACGATGCCCAGGAAAGTTGAAGTGATAAGACAAGGGGACACGCAAAAGAACAAGAGGCAGGAGAAGCAAAAGGAATTGGCAGCTGAGAAGCCCTTGTCAGGGGGGGGGCGAGCAGACAGCGAGAGACCCAAGATGCGTTCTAGAATCTCTTGACATTTGGTTTTGAAGTTTCTTCGGGCGCGTTTTGAGGCGTCTTGGGGGCTTCTTTGGCTAAAAGATCGACTCGGGTCTCTGGCTTCAACTGGCCTTGCCATTCTGTTCACATCTGTGCTCCAACATCGCGCCGAATATGCCCGACGAGAGCCGGAAGTTGAAAGCGAACGGGAGTAATCTTGAGGCACCCGAGAAGATAAGTGCACGTGCGAACGAAAAAGAAAAGAGAAGGAGGAGTGGGAGGAATAACGTATGAAGATTGACGAGTCCTTTCGTGGATGGGGTAAGCACGCGCACAAGATGTTGATCACGATGGTCTGGAAGGTGACCACTACGGCACAAGACGGCATCCAAGCGATGACGTTTGCTCAGGAGGCGAAAGTCGAGGCGAAGGAGGCCGAGGCGGCGGCTCCCACCGTGATTGCGGACGTCGCGGGCGTGAAGGCAGACGCAGAATACCTGAACAAAAAAAAGAAGGAGCAGAGGAGTGGGGGGAGGCGCAGTATACAGCGGGGGAGGTGGAGAAGCAGGTAGAGGATTTGGCGGCGGATGCGCGGCAGATTGCCAGGGAGGAGGAGGAGGGGGAAGAGAAGAGGCCCACGATCACGGTCGGCAGCTCTCCACAAGACACGAAGAGCGACTACATTATCGAGCATGTCAAAAAGTCAGCGGCGGGCGTCCAGGATCATCTGGGCGAGGGCGGGGCGTTCGCCTACGGCGGGCGCTTCGCGACGAGAGGAACGGTTCGGTTCGAGACGGAGCATGCGATGATTGACTATTTGCACAAACCTGCGACGCCGAAGTCTTTCGAATGGGGGGCGCGCCGCGTCTACCTCAACCGGGAAGTGTGCAGGGCGAAGGAGGGCGAAGTCAAAGGAAAGGCAGTCCGGAAGCTCGCGCGGGCGGTGATCGAGCGCGAGGGGGGTAACAGCGCCTGCGCGAAGGAGCAGATCGATGGCGTATTTCGTCTGGATCGGCGAGCGCCTGGGCGGCGGCGCGGCGTTGGCGGGCGACGGCATAGAGCTGGAAGCGCGGCGCCGGGCCGTGCTGGAGCGGGGCGCGGCTGCCACGTCAGGGGGGGAGCCGGGAGGGGGGAGGCGAGCGAGGAGGGCGAGGAGGAGGAAGGGCCGGAGGCAGCGGCGGAGGCAGAGGAGGAGAAGGAACACGCCTGCGCTCAGGCGGCGGGCGCGGCGCGCTGATGCCAGTCGAGGGCGATTTTCCAATTGCAGCGCTGCGAGGCGCAAAGACGCGGAATTTTGATGAAGCATTCTTGGGTGGAGCCCGCTCGGGGTGTCATGACATGGTCGTCAGAGTGGCAGTGGGGCTCGTTGACGAGGCGATCGATCTTTGCACTATTGGTTGGAATCTTCAATCCATCCAAACAGATTATGTGGAGCAGGAATTTCTGGCAGAACTTCGCCGCGCATGCTGGGGTTTCTTACTTTTGAGCGGAGCCTGGCGCGAAAGCACAGGGTGAAGATGGCAGGCGAGAGAGGGGCGCACATATATATATATATATATATATATATATATATATATATATATATATATATGTCGCGCGGATCTGGCGGGGAGAAGGGGGGGGCAAGGCGCGGCGATCGCGCCGCGCGAGGGCAGGGCTGCGGGATTTCTGTTTCGCCGCGCCGCAAAGTTCGAGCGCGCGCCGCGGGCGCCGGCATTGGGGGCCGCCGACGACGATATCACAGCGGCGCGCATGCCTCGCGGCGGCGATGACGACGCGGGCGTCGAGGACGCGCGCGAACAAGTGGAGAGGTTCCTGCGCGCTGCGCGCGTCTCTCGGCGCGCGCGCGTCCTGGGGGGCGGCTGGAACGCAGTCGCGAGGGCCAGACAACCGAGGAACGACGCTGGCGCGGCGGGTCCGCGCGGCGCTGGCCGCCGGAATTCGCGACGAGAGACGCCGGCGCAGCGGGCTTCTGGCCGCGGCCTCGCGCTTGCAAATGCGATAGCGCAGCGGACTTTTGATCAGCAGCGGGCGCGCCAAAACGGGCCCCGCAAGCGACGACTCGATTATTTCGCTACTCCTCTCAGAAAGGCCACCGTGGACCACAATGCATTCGGAGGCGCGAGAAGACGTGGGCGTCGGGATTGGCCGCCGCGCTATCCGCCTGACGCCCCCTCTCTCTCTCTCTCTCTCTCTCTCTCTCTCTCTCTCTCTCTCTCTCTCTCTCTCTCTCTCTCTTTCTCTCTCTCTCTCTCTCTCTCTCTCTCTCTCTCTCTTTCTCTTTCTCTTTCTCTTTCTCTTTCTCTTTCTCTTTCTCTTTTTTTTTT